AAAAATAGCCCGGCATAGTGGCAGGTGCCTGTAGTCCCAGCTACTTGGGAGGCTGAGGCAAGAGAATGGCTTATGCCCAAGAGTTTGAGGTTGCTGTGAGCTGTGACACGACAGCACTCTACCAAGGGCAACTTAGTGAGACTCTGTCTCAAAAAAAGAGTATTGCTACATTCTTGTGCACATGCATTTCATTACTGCTTTTGGATATAGTTTTATACCAGACTTGAATATTCAGTCAAGATTTCAGTATTCATTTATTGCCTCATTCACATATACGTGAATGTTCTTTTAACTTGCACTTAGAAATTTTAACATATATTTTCACAATATTCTTTTTCTTTTTTGAGACAGAGTCTTACTATGTCATCGTCCTTAGTAAAGTACCGTTGCGTCACAGCACACAGCAACCTCAAACTCTTGGGCTTAAGGAATTATCCTGCCTCAGCCTCCCAAGTAGCTGGGACTATAGGTACCTGCCATAACACCTGGCTATTTTTTTTTGTTGTTGTTGCAGTTGTCATTGTTTAGCTGGCCCAGGCCGAGTTTGAACCTGCCAGCATTGGTGTATGTGGCTAGTGCCATAACCACTGTGCTACAGGTGCCAAGCTCACAATATTCTTTTTTTTTTGTAGAGACAGAGTTTCACTTTATCACCCTCGGTAGAGCGCCGTAGAGTCACACAGCTTTAGGCGATTCTCTTGCCTCACCCTCCTGAGTAGCTGGGACTACAGGCACCTGCCACAATGCCTGGCTATTTTTTTTGTTGCAGTTTGGCCCAAGCCAGGTTTGAACCCACCACCTCGGTATATGGGGCCAGCATCCTACTCACTGAGCCACAGGCGCCACAATAGTCTTATAAGTGTATTTTTCCTTTTATAGGGGACAAAATGAAACTTATAGATGCTATATAATTTGCCCAATATCACGTAGCTGCTATGAGAGTTAGGTCTTTAGTTGAAATCTCTTGCTCTAAATCTAGTAATCTTTTTTGTTATACCATCTAAAATGTGCTAAATTTTGACGTTTTATCTATCAAAGACATATGAACTCAAAAAAAGCAAAAATAATTCAACAAACAATTATTTTGTGATATTTATATTATGGGTTCTATGGTAGGTGGAACACAGAAAACATTAGGGATATTTCTGTTTCTGAAGGACATTTAGGCAAGATTTCACCAAGGAAGGAGTGTTTGAGTTTAGTCATAAGTTTGAGGAAAGGAGGAGAAAGGTATTCTAAGTATAGAAACCAGGATACATGTACCAAGACAAAACACCAAGGCACATTTTTTTTTTTTTTTTGAGACAGAGTCTATGTCACCCTTGGTAGAGTTTGTGGCGTCACAGCTCACAGCAACTTTAAACTCTTGGGCTTAAGCTATTCTCTTGCCTCAGCCTTCTGAGCAGGTGGGACTACAGGCACCAGCCACATCCCCTGGCTATTTTATTGCAGTGGTCATCGTTATTTAGCTGGCCCCTGCCAGACTTAAACCCTCCAGGCTCAGTGTATGTGGCCGGTGCCCTACTACAGGCACCAAGCCTACACCAAGACACATTTTAAGACAAGGACAAATTTAAATGTGTAGGTATTGTTCAGAACAAGAGACCTGAATGAATCTAGAAAGAAGGGTATACAATGAAAGCATCTATAAACTAAAAACATTCATGGTTAAAGAAACAGCATAAAATGCGGAGAGACAAGAATTTATATGACATGTAGAAACCAGAGAAAGATCTGGAGTTGCAGAGTAAAATGTTCACATTGGAAAAACAATAAAGGGTTGGCACCTGTGGCTCAAGTGGCTAAGGTGCCAGCCACATACACCTAAGGTGGCGGGTTCAAATCCAGCTGGGCCCGCCAAACAACAATGATGGCTGCAATGAAAAAATAGCCGGGCGTTGTGGCGGGTGCCTGTGGTCCCAGCTACTTGGGAGGATGAGGCAGGAGACTCGCTTGAGCCCAAGAGTTGGAGGTTGCTATTAGCTGTGATGCCATGGCACTCTACCCAGGGGGATAGCTTGAGGCTCTGTCTCAAAAAAAAAAAAAAAAAAAAAAAGTGTAGGGGCAGCGCCTGTGGCTCAAAGGAGTAGGGCGCCAGCCCCATATGCGGGAGGTGGCAGGTTCAAATGCAGCCCCCGGCCAAAAAACTGCAAAAAAAAAAAAAAAAGTGTAGAGCCAGTTAACACTGAAAACTGACTGACAGCATCATTATTTAGATATATTAAGCACTTAACTCTGCCAGTTACTGTACTGCTTTACTTTTGCAAAATATTTGAGCACTTGGGTATTAATGTTCCAAATTTGCATATGAGGAAATTGAAGTTAAGAGAGGGTAAGTAACTTGACCAAGATCACATAGATAGTAACTGGTAAAGCCCATAACTGGTAAAGCCCAGATGCAAACTCAGGACTCTTCTATACTTCAAATATACAATTCAATTTACAAAAATATAAGAAAGAGACACTGGGCACGGTGGCTCACACCTGTAATCCCAGCACTATGGGAGGCTGAGGTGGGAGGACAGCTTGAGTTCAGGAGTTCGAGGCTTCTCTGAGCGAGAGTGAGACCCTGACTCATGAAAAAAGTTGAAAAACCCAGCCAGGCGCTTGTAATCCCAGCAGCTTCAGATGCTGAGGCAGCAGGATGCCCACAGCCCGAGTCTGAGGTTGCAGTGAGCTACAATACCATTGCACTCTGTTCAGGGCATAGGTAGAACTCTGTCTTGACATTAAAAATAAATAAATAAATAATTACACACACACACACACACGAAAGAGCAATCACAGTTCAGTGGAAAGAAATTTCAGAAGTCAGCAGACTAATTGTTTTGTTTTGTTTTTTGAGATGAGGTCTCTCTATGTTGCCCAGACTGGCCTTAAATGCCAGGGCTCAAACTATCCTTCCACCCTCAGCCTGCCTAGCTCTGTAAGTCCATGCCACCATGCCTGGCTGTTGACCAGCTCTTAATTCCAGATCCATTGTGTGGAAGTCATTAAAGCTCTCTATGCCTTGGTTTCTTTACAAAACATAGGAATTATTATTCATCATCTTATAAAGATCAAAGTAGTATGCTTAAAATACTCTGTAAATTTAAACTGTACAATGTTATATATCCTTGGATACATACAAGATCTGTATGTTTTTCGAGGAAATACAGAGACATTGGAATAAACCTTATGGACTTTACTTATTCGAGGTTTCTTAGTTATATTATTCTGTCAGATTTCTTAGGCATACTTAAGGTAATGACTGGGGGAAGACAGACTATGAAAAAAATATGTATACACATGAATTTCAACAAAACATCAGGGTATAAGTTTGAGAAACTAAAGTTGATATTCCTTCCTAAATACTATGCTATTAAATGTAAATGAAATAAGCTGAAATATTTTGGGTTAATGTATTTCGCTTTAAAAGAAATTTATCAGCTATGTTCTCTTTGATAAAAATTTATTTTATATTTTATTTACTAATTTATTTTTGAGACAGAGTCTTATTTTGTTGTCACATGGCATCACAGCTCACAGTGACCTCAAGCTCCTGGGCTCAAGTGATCCTCCTGCCTCAGCCTCCCCAATAGCTGAGACTACAGGTGCCCCCACAACGCCCTAGCTAGTTTTTCTATTTTTAGTAGACTGGGACCTGTTCTTGCTCTCCAATTCCTGATCAGTTCAAGCAAACTACATGCCTAGCCCTGCCAGAATGTTAGGATTATAGGGGTGAGCCACTGCGCTGGGCCTATTTTGTGTTTTAAATTATTATTAGCACTATTTTTAAAACATTGCCATTCAGATAGCAAAACAAGGGAAACAAAACAAAACGGGAAAACAATCTATATTAATTGATGTACTATGAAATCAGATTTCTGAGGAAACTATGTCTTCTCTAGACAGAAATGTCTATAGTTAAACATAATTTTTTTTTTTTTTTTTGAGACAGAGCCTCAAGCTGTCCCCCTGGGTAGATGGCCATGGCTTTACTGCTCACAGCAACCTCCAACTCCTGGGCTCAAGTGACTCTCCTGCCTCATCCTCCCAAGTAGCTGGGACCACAGGCGCTGGCCACAACGCCCAGCTATTTTTTGGTTGCAGCCGTCTTGTTGTTTGGCTGGCCAGAGCTGGATTTGAACTCGCCACCTTAGGTGTATGTGGCTGGCACCTTAGCCACTTGAGCCACAGGCGCCAAGCCCTAATTTATTTTTCATATCGTGCAGTAACTCTGGTCACTGGGAAGTAAAGTAACCGGTGTACAGAGTACATGAAAGTAAAATCTGAAAATGACTAGCAGAGAAACACTCAGGTTAGAAGGAGTTGGGTGAAGAGCAGAGAGAAGGAAAACATTTTCATGTACTATTAAAAAAAAAAAAAATCTCTCCAGTATAACTGCTTCCTCAAAACAGGACAAAGGAATCGGTCCAGGCAACTGAGGGCACCTAGTTGGATTATGAGAAGTTTCCAGTGTACCTGGGTCCACTCCTCTGAATAATGAGGTCAAACATGGGAGGAAAACTGGCACCCAGGCAAGCTATCAAATTCAAAAACCCCCACTTAGTTTCTATTAGCAGTGTCCAATATAATCCCAGCAAAAAAGGGTACTTATTGATAAACAACACAGGAACACAGCTTGTTCTCATTCTTGGATACCTTCCCTGGCCAATCTGCCCTTTTCTGAGTAACAGCAAGTAATTCCAGAAATACAATCTTAGGGTTTTGTGGGTCCACTCGAAGTGAATAAGCCAGCCAGGGAAACCAGCCACCAGACGGTGCGGGGGAAAGCCAGGAGCCCAGCAAGTAGCTGGATGCTTTCAGACAGCTCCCCGGCTCTCCCGCAGCCGCTCCGGGCCCCGCGGAAGGCCGGGCAGGCGCAGAGGGCTGGAGTCACCAAGTCGGCTTCCTGCCCGTCCCCACCCGGTCACTAGCGCCCCAGCACCCAAAAGGCTCCACCGAATCGAACCCTGGCGACCTCCGCGGTGACGGGCCCTCCTGGGGCTCAGCCTCACCTTCGGCGTCAGCGGAGGAGACAAAGGTGAAGTCCCCGTTAGCCGGGGCATACGCCGGCGGCGGGCCTGGCGGCTGCATCTCGCGGCCCCTCCGAGCCGGCAGCGGCCGAGGAGGCTGCGGCTGGGCCCAGGCCCCGCGGAGGCCGCCGCGCCGACCCGCACGCCCGCCCTGGGAAGCGGCCTGCGAGCCGGGAGGTGCAGGCTGCGGGCGAGGCCGAAGACGAGCGCGGCCGGCTGCAAGGGCGCCCCCGAAACTGGCCCACCAAAGTCCTCTCGGCCGCGACCACCCAGGCACCGGGACGCCGGCGCCCTGACAGGACCATAACAGTGACAGCGGCGCTCGGATTGGCTAGTTGTATTGTGCTCTCCCATTGGCTCCCGGAGAAAGGCGCTGATTGGGTTTCCCGTTGTTGATTCCGGAGGTTTCCCCGGGACGGGAAGTTCTCGTGTAATTCCCTTCTGCATCCTTGACCTCTTTCCGTGTGTGTGTTCCAGGCCGGTCTCTTATTAACCGTGTGGGTTAAGGAATTGTAGAACTAAGTGGGTTTCTAGAGGTCAGCCCCACTTGGGATCTCAAGATTTTTTTGCCCTTGGTCATTAATTATATAGGATAAGACTTGACTAAATTGTGTATCATCTCCAAGGCTCGGTTTCCTCATCTGTAAGATTAAGGGGGTTGGACTAGGAAGTAAAAAGAAAGCAGATGAATTATAAGTTGGTACCCAGACACTAGGATTGTAGTCTAGACATATTCTTACATAAGGAAGGAAACTGAGGCCACAGAAAATAAGGTAATAACAATTACGGCGGTGCCTAAAAATCCTGACTTACACGCAAGTGCTCTTCCTTAGAACATCTTGTCTGTTGATAAACTTTCCAGAATTTATGAACTCATCCAGGTGTTTAAGTGTTTAATAAATATACTTAAATTTTAATATCCAAGCTACATAAATATGGCTTCCAATTTGAAGAGATAGGAGTTGGGGATATATTAGGGGATATATTTGAAGAAATAAATGATGAATCAGTAATAAAGAAGGGGAAGGCATGGCCATTAATGTGTTAAACGGAATTTCAAAAAAAAAAATTCTCAGAGGAGGTAAGAATTAAGTTGACACTTAATGAATTAGTAAAAATTTAAAGGCAAGGGGGCTAATAACGTAAAGACATCATTTAATGGACCTGGGCAATCACAAGTTATTCTGTTTACTTGGAGGTTAAATTTCAGCGGAAAGGTTACAGACGAGATTGCACATGTAGATAAAGAACAGATCGTGAAATAATACTGTTATTCCATTCAATTTAGATTTTTTTTCTGGAAATGATAGAGGAACCATTAGAGGAACCGGAGCAAGAGAGTAACAAAATCAGACTTATATTTTGACTTAGCAAACAGAGATGTATGAAAACTTTTCCACATACCTAAGTCAGTCTTGGACTAGGGTTGCAGCACTGGGATGGGAAAGAGAAAACAATATGAGAAATATTAAGTTTAAAAATCCACAGGAGTGTCGGGGCGCGGTCCCTCACGCCTATTATCCCAGCACTCTGGGAGGCCAAGGCTGGCGGATGGCCTGCGCTCTCGAGTTCGAGACTATCCTGAGCTAGAGTGAGATCCCCATCTCGGAAAAAATAGCCGGGGCGTTGTGGTGGGCGCTTGTAGTCCCAGCTACTGGGGAGGCTGAGGCAAGAGAATTGCTTAAGCCTAAGAGTTCAAGGGTGTTGTGAGCTATGACACCAGGGCACTCCACCGAGGGCAACAAAGTGAGACTGTCTCAAAAACAACCAAATCAAAACAAAATCCACAGGACTTAGGGATCAATTAAAAGAGGTTAAAACTAAAGAATAGAAAGGAGCCTGGGGTGACTTCATATTTCTTACTTAGGTGGTTGAAAGTGAGGAAATAGATGAAGAGGAGCTGGTCTGGTGAGAAAGGAAAGTCTTCAACATCATAAATTTAAGAACATGTAGTTTGAGCTATCCAGTTATTCTTTGGCTAGTAAGAATCCACTATTCAGGGTAGAGTTCTGAACTGGAAGTATAGCATGATAGTCATCAGTGCATAACTGGTAATTAGATCTATGAATATGAGTGAGATTGTCCAGGAATAGCATACTAAGTGAGAGAAGAGCACCAAGAGTAATCTAGATAAAATTGGCAGCAAAAGAGGTGAGATAAGTTACAATTTTAAATGGGATGATTAGGAAAGGAGACCGTTTCCATCTACCCATCTTTTTATTTTAACTTTTCTGTATCTGTAGAGTGTAGATTTTTTTTTTTTGAAACAGAGCCTCAAGCTGTCCCCCTGGGTAGAGTGCTGTGACATCACAGCTCACAGCAACCTCCAACTCCTTGGCTCAAATGAGTCTCCTGCCTCCGCCTCCCAAGTAGCTGGGACCACAGGCGCCCGCCACAATGCCCAGCTCTTTTTTGGTTGCAGCCATCATTGTTGTTTGGCGGCCCGAGCTGGATTCGAACACACCACCCGAGGTGTATGTGGCTGGCGCCTTATCCACTTGAGCCAGAGGCACCGAGCTAGATTTTTTTTTTTTTTTGGTCAGCAGCATTTTATATTATTCTTTCTAGCACTTTTAGCCTTTAAATTGAACATTGAATTTATTTACACTTTTTGTAGTCATTGCAACACTAGATTTATTTTTTTAATCTTGTGTTAATATTTTCTATTTATTTTGCCTTTTAAATTGAATTCTGTTTTGTCATCTTCTTTCTTTAAATTTATTATTTTATCTCATTTAAAATTTTTTCCTTTTACTAGTCTAGAAGTTATGCTCTCTATTTTTACTTTTTGTCAGTTATAATGAACTTTTTACATGTGTATTTAACTTATCATAGTCTGAAGTTAAGCAGTATTGGCTCAGGGCATAGCATAGTGGTTATGAGGCGGGCCACATGCACCAAGGTTGGTGGGTTCGAACCTGGCCTGGGCCAGCTAAATAACAATGACAACTGCAACAAAAAATAGCTGGGCGTTGTGGTGGGGCTGGTAGTTCCAGCTACTTGGGAGGCTGAGGCAAGAGAATCACTTAAGCCCAAGAGTTTGAGGTTGCTGTGAGCTGTGACGCCATAGCACTCTACTGAGGGTGACATAATGATACTCTGTCTCAAAAAAATAAATAAAAATAAAAAATAAATTTAATCAGTATCTTTATCCTATCCCAGATAATATAAGAGTCCTAGAATACTAACTTTAGCAAGCTCTAAAATAACTTAGAAACTGTTATTTTGTAGATATTTTAGTTCTGGCTTGTGCTTTTTAAAAAAAAAACTCCACCAAAAACTGCATTATATCGTCAGTATTTAGATTTTCCAAAAAAAAAAAAAAAATTTAGACATTCTTTGCTTACCATTTGTTCTTCTCCGAGTTTCTACTTCTTTCTGCCTAAAGTACCTCCTTTAGGATTTCCTTTAGTGAGGGGTCTGCTGCTGGAAAAATCTGTTAGTTTTATCTACAAATACATTTTGTTACTTTTTCTTTTTTTTTTGAGACAGAGTCTCACTCTGTTGTCCTGGGCAGAGTGACATGGTGTCATTACAGCTCCCAGCAACGTAGTCTCTTGGGCTCAAGCAATCCTCTTGCCTCAGCTTCCGGAGTAGCTGGGACAACAGGCACCTGCTACAATGCCTGGCTAAGTTTTCTAAAATAGCAAGGTCTCTCTCTTGCTTAGGCTGGTCTCCAACTCCTGACCTCTAGAGATCTTCTCCTCTCAGCCTCCCACAGAAATCCTCTCCTCTCAGCCTCCCAGCATGCTGGGATTACACATGAACCACCACCCCCGCCTTCTTTTCTTTTTCTTATGGCTCTATGAGTGAATAGGTCACTTCACATAGCTCTGGTTATCAACTGAATTTGACACCTTAGCAATCAAATCGCAAGAGAATCAATGTGAAAAAGCTTTTTATGTAATTACACAGGTGCTGCTGCACTCTCATAACCATTCTGGCCAGGAGAATATAATCCTAATACATTTTAGATTTCCATTTCTCCAGTCCAGACTTTGGGAAGCTGAGTCCAGGTTATCTTTAGAAAATAATTCAATGATTCTTTCTTTCTTTTTTTTTTTTTTGGTTTTGGCTTTAACCTGCCATGCCCAGTATATGGGGCTGGCGCTCTACTCCTTGAGCCACAGGCACCGCCCTAATTCAATGATTTTTATTTCTGGAGTCTTATTTCAGGAATTCATGTCTTGTTTTAGTTCTTCAAATAATGGTTTTATTGTCTTTCAAGGAGTGGTACAAATACTATATTTAATCTGCTTATCCCACCCTCATATGTAAATATTGTTTAGGAGGGCTAGTTTACTCAAACTAAGCAACTTTATCATATTCACTGAAACTTCCTTAAATCTAAGTGGAAAACCATGGCTTGGTTTGTTTGTTTTGATGTTTATAACTTTTCTTATCTTAGGATTAATGCACATTTATTAGAGACAATTTTTTAAACCCTGGTATAGTACCTGTAAAGGTAGCTGCTGTTAACATTAGTATTAATCCTTACAATCATTTTTCTTTCTTTCCCAACTTACTTCCAAGGAAAGTTTATTTCTGTTTTTATTTACAAGGCTTTTATCAAATATATAAATGTAAACAAATATATTAGCTATATCTTTTTTTTTTTAGCCCTCTTTTTTTTTTTTTTTATTGAATGGTAACTATGTACATTAATGCACTTCTGGGGTACAGTGTGGGGTTTTCACATGCAATCTGAAATACTTCGATCAAACTGGTCAACACAGCCTTCATGTCATTTTCTCAGTTATTGCTTTAAAACGTTCACATTCTACTCTTAGAAAGATTCACCTGTACCCCTATTAGCTATATCTTAAGCAAGAAAAACTTTTAAAAGTCATTAATTAAAAGTCTATCTATATTTCTGTGGTTCAGGTCAAAGAGCTTCTTATATAAATTCTCATGCCTTGATCCCATAGTCCACATAAGAAAGTGTGATGGCATGATGTGTAATTTGTGAATTTCAAATACAATTATGGCAGTGCAAATCAGTGTCATTTACCAATGACATTTAGTGATCAGTTGTCAAGGAAGGCCTCTAATTCAAGGTTATTTTAATATAAATTTTAAACAAATTAATGAATTAGTTGATATCATTCTTTAGAGACAGTGTCATTATGTCACCCTTGGTAGAGTGCCGTGGTGTCACAGCTCACAACAACTTCAAACTCTTGGGCTCAAGCAATTCTCTTGCGTCAGCCTCCTAAGGAACTAGGACTATAGGCACCTGCAGTAATGCTAAGCTGTTTTTTTGTTGCAGCTGTCACTGTTGTTTAGCTGGCCCGGGCCGGGTTCAAACTTGCCAGCCTCAGTG